TCTCTCTCTCTCTCTCTCTCTCTCTCTCTCTCTCTCTCTCTCTCTCTCTCTCTCTCTCTCTCTCTCTCTCTCTCTCTCTCTCTCCTGTACGAGTTTGAGGTGATGCCATTTGGGCTCTGTAATGTGTCTGATACATTCCAGCATGCAATGAACAGGATCTTTATTGACTACTTACATAAGTTTATTGCCATCTACGTAGACGATATACTTGACAGGGTCTTCATTGACTACTTAGATAAGTTTATCATCATCTATCTCGATGATATACTTATCTTTAGTAGACTTTGGAGGAGTGTACACAACACTTAAAGATAGTCTTTGATCTCCTCGGAAAGTGTAAGATAATAGAGGGAAGCGTGAATTTGCACGCACAAAGGTCTTGTACTTGGGTCATGAGATCTTTGAGGAGGGATTAAGGCCAGAGGATGTGAAAGTGGCAGGCACGAGGGACTGGCCCCGACCTGGGGATGCCACTGATGTCAGATATTTCTTGGGCATGACAGACTACTATAATAATATAATCTATTTGCAGAGAATAACAGCACTGTAGCTAACCCCTTGACAGACAGAACTCGACTCGATACCCCCTGGGACTGGGATCATGCATGTGAGAAGCCAATTCTTGGAGGTGGGGAAGGAAGGAGAGGGGGGAGGGGGAGGGGGGGGCGGAATCTGATCATTATTGCCATCACGGCAAATACACAAGTAATCTTATCCCTAATGACCACGTAAGGCCCCAAAACCTCTCGTAGAGAAAGACGATGACTAGACCAATTTGCATACCCTGATATCCAGTCATCTGGGTGGCAGTCCAGGTCTGGGCAACCTGATGGCAGCCTGCGCAATCCAGCACTTGCTGGGCATCCACCCTGATAACCTAGGGGGAGAGAGAGAGGCACACAGAGAGAGAGAGAGAGAGAGAGAGAGAGAGAGAGAGAGAGAGAGAGAGAGAGAGAGAGAGGGAGAGAGAGAGAGAGAGAGAGGACGACCTTTTAGATACCGTACCACGCGGGAATGGAGTGTCCGTCCTCTATGTATCTGGACCAGGACCTGTCCAGAAACATTTATAAAATGGGAAACTCATGGAATGGAAACATATGAAGCAAGAGAACAGAGTGACGAGGAATGGAGTGTCAGTCCGTGTGTATCTGGACAAGAACGGTGTCCAGATACACTTACAAGATAGGAATTTCCAGATGCATTCATAAGACTGGGAGAGAGGTGCGCGCGCGCGCGCGCGTGTGTGAGAGAGAGAGACGAGAGAAGAGAGAAGAGAGACAGAGACAAAGACAGAGACAGAAAGAGAGACAGAAGAGAGAAAAGAGAGAGAGAGTAGAGAGAAGAGAGAGAGAGAGGGAAGCGAGAGAGAAGAGAGAGAGAGAGAGGAGAGAGAGCACACCCATGGTCACAACGACTCTACATGGAAGAGCTTCAATGGATGAACAGAGAAAAAACGCGGGAAAGAGGCGGCGAAGGCGGGAGATGACCGGGTGGGGGAAAGGGAGGAGAAGGGCAGGAGGGGTAGGAGGGGTAGGAGGGCAGGAAAGGGGCACACAGAGGGGAAGAGGTGTGTCATTAATGATGTTTCAGAGCCACCCTACATGGGCCAAAATATGAATCACTATTATTTTTTATTTTTTATTTTTTTGGTTCAAAACCAGAACAAGAAGTGGATTAAAAAAAAAAAAAAAANAGAGAGAGAGAGAGAGAGAGAGAGAGAGAGAGAGAGAGAGAGAGAGAGAGAGAGAGAGAGAGAGAGAGAGAGAGAGAGAGAGGGTGAGAGAGAGGATAAAAGTAAGGAGAAACTGAGTGGAGGGATGCTTCGGTGTTCACATCAAGCAGGCCAAGGAGTACAGTAGTTTAACCTGTCGTGATTCATAAGCCACCCATATTCACACCGACAAACCCACACACTAATTTTCTTCATGCCTTATCTCTCAGACGCGTACCTTCTCCTTCTGCAACTCAACTCGCTTAGCCTTGACACTTTGAAACTCCTCCTTTGAAATTCCAGCCTGTAGTGGCAAAAGAAATAAATTCAAATAATGATAAGGAGTCAAAAATACAGAAAGTTTTTTTTTTTTTTTCCCTTTCTTTGTGGCCCGATGGACCACGTATCAGATATTGAAGTTGATAAGTAAACTGATCAGAACGAACAGATACTACACTTGATCTATTTTTAGCCAAAAGGCCGAGAAACGTATATACAGAAAGATTTCCTATTAAATTCCTAGCAAAATGTCACATTCCTGACGTAGTAAAACTACCACTAACAGCAACTAACTGTGTATTTATGACAACCGAGTTCTTTTATCAGATCCTTTGAATATATAGTCCAGTTATAAGAGGTACCAAGGTACTCCAACTTAAAGACATGCTGCACATACTCAACTCTCGCATACATGTAAACAGATGGCAATTCACACTGGCGCCAAGCACCCACTCAAAGCTCAGAGATATGGAACCCGGGAACACAGGTCAGATGCAAACTCGCTTCAACAGGCTATGGCGCATCAGTGCCTGTACATCCCAACTCTCGTCGCTGTAGCCAACACCACTGTTCACACATACTCAACTCTGGACCACCCTGAATACCCCACACGAGTTCACTGTATCACGCACACACTAACACCTAACACTATCTATGGCAGCTATGGCCGCCAACTACCACTAACTACAAGCAGCTATGGCTGCGCTGATCTCCACCTCAGCCCTCTTCGACTTCAGGCCTCTGCAGACCACCTCACACAAGACACTACGGCAGCGCTTCCGCATGGCTCACACAGGAATCAATGAATGGCTGGACGCTGCCTCTTGATTTATACTTCTGTAAGTCGCTGGTCTGCCCTTTTCCACCGGGCCCATGGTGCACACAGTCCCTCATGGTACTTGCTGATTGTACAAAGTGAGACTGGGACTGGGTACCGCTGACTAAGCGAAGTTGGACTCACCACTTGCCCACCTGCCTCTGGCCTACTGTGTACAACGTGAGAAGAAACTTGAAAGGCCACTTCCGAACCTTCCGGAAGTTTGCGGACTTGGCCTTTCAAGACTGTAGCAGCTACGACCTTGACCTTTCAGGACTGTAGCAGCTACGATCTTCACCTTTCAGAACTACAATCAACTATGACTCCTATGCAGGTATGACCCCTACTTCGGAAGGTTCAAGCCCCGACAACTACTCAGACCTACGACAGACAACTCTCAACTACTAACACATAGGTCACGGGTTCAAGACTCACAGGGTCGACTTGATACTGTACACAGGTACGGTAAGGTAAGGTGAGGTCTGGGGATCGAGCCCTGGGATCCGCATCTCTATCTGCAAAAAGGTGAAAAAAACCGTTTCATTAGCATCATAGCATACATAATACCTAGGAATTTTTTCCTGCCCGGCTGGGCGTCATGTCGGGGGGGGGGGGTCTGCTGCCTGGGGTACCAAGGAACAACAATTATTTTATTTTTATTTTCCCGCGGTGTTGGTCTTCTGCGCTCGCCGAGAGGAGCCCAAACACCAGGCTCCTTTTTCTTTTCAGTGTTGTCCATAAAGGGTAGGAAAGAGGTTGTAAATGTGTTCCAAAGGGGTTGAAGGGGTTTAAAGGGGGGTGCCTTAGTCTGATCGTTTGCTTTCTTTTTTTTCTTCAATCCAATAAGGAATTTTGAGGTACTCCTCAGCCAAAAGTTGTTTGCAACTTTGCATTGCATTTTCACAGAACATTTTCCCCCGTAGAATTTCTTCATTTTTGTTTACTTTGTTTTGCGCTGGGGCTGCCTGGAACCCTGCCTTTCAACCCTTTTCAAACCCTTGAAAGTCGAAACCATGTTTGCACCCGTAAATGTGACACGTGGTTCACGGAGGACAGAAAATTTGCTGTTTTCGTCGACAGTTTCGGGGCAAAATTCAGTGAAAATTGTCAAAACAAACTGTATGGGCCCATAGCGCAAACATCAACAAAATAAACAGGCCAAAGAAAACAAACAAGAAAAGCGAAAATGTGTGAGGGCGAATTTCTCGAGACGGCGATTCTCTCCTGGTTTAGGGTCGGTGTCATTGTCGTTCTTTTTTTCATGTCCCTTCGTCTCCTGGTTTAGGGTCGGTGTCATTGTCGTTCTTTTTTTTTTTTTTTTTACACGTTATTCTTCTCTCAAATTCCTTTTTGCATTTCACGACCTACCTACCACTACTCCTATAGAGGGGACCCCTGCAAGCATATGCTGCCCCCCACCCGAACAGTGGTAGACAGAGATGGGGTGGGGCCACCAGTGGGGGTCCGGCTAACACAAAGACCACGCATTTTGCCAGTACCTGCATCGTTCTTGGGAAGCCCTCCCACCCCCTCCTTCCCCCTCCCCCCTCACAGAACACCTCCTTCATTTTCATGTCCCTTCGTCTCCGACATTTTTTTTTTTGTTGTTGTTGGGCGGGCATTGCCCACACCTAGCACCTTTCCATGGCTCTGCATGTTTTCTGTTGGGGACAACAGCTCGATAATTTATGTAAACTTGTAAAGACATTAAAAACATTCATAATTTTGAATTTGTCTGCACTGTTGATGACTAGCTTGTACATGCATGCGTTATGGAAAAAGAAATTGGTCAGCATTGGGTTGAGAGTCTTGAGAGTCTTGGGACTCTTGAGACCCGTGTGTGTGTGTGTGTGTGTGTGTGTGTGTGTGTGTGTGTGTGTGTGTGTGTGTGTGTGTGTGAGAGAGAGAGAGAGAGAGAACAAAAAAACAAAAAAACAAAAACTGTGAGAGTACCGTACCGCCTGACAGATTACACGTAGGGAGATATCACCCTCGCACTCTTCATCATTTCGCATGTTGTCGATCATTGTACAGATGAATGCGATCTTGTTGTAACTTCCATCCATCAACACCTGCGATGCCCGGAGAAGAAGGGAAAATGAACCAAGTCTGGAGCAAACCTGCTACCTTCTTCCCCCGAATAGAACGTACGGTCATTTCTGCTGCATCGGGACTAAAAGGTGAGCCAAATACGGTTATAATGATCGTACGTTATATTCGGGGGAACACAGTAGTTTCATCATTTCACAAACACTGCATCTTGCTCCACTACACAGCATTCTAAATGCATCTGGACAGAGCCTTGTCCAGATGCACTCGGACCGGAAATACATTCTCATCGTATGTGACCAGTCACAAATCCAGATATATTTTGAATTCTGTTCAGTGGACCGAGGTCCATTCACAATATTTTCCTTCCATACAGAAGGACCCAACAGCCATGGTGGTTTTTTTTTTTGTTGTTGCCTCAAAATTCAATTTCCACTACTTCAAAGTTCAAAGCCATGGTGGGGTTTCACATCTGTCTGCTCATTGAACTTAACTTCTTTTTTTTTTTTTTTTAAGTAGCCACTTTTATCATAGCTGAAAAGTGGGGTGTTCATTAAACTCCATTTCCTTTCCCAGGGGGACGAGTTCTTCTTGCTCCTGTAGGGCGGTCCCACTAGCCAAGAGGATGGGATTAAGTTTACGAATGTGACTGCGCTTTATGCAGAGATGCATAACCCAGTTTCAATTGCAATTTTCAGCACCTGTCCGAAATCGCGTTCAAAAATTCAGGTCGTTCGTCTTGCTAGAGGGGGGCCTAGGCCCTGGAGCTCAAGGTCTCAGAATCTCAATGCAGACTGTCTCAGTTGCTTTGCTCACAAAAGAAAATTTTCGCCAAAGAAAAGGTTGGAGTCCTAGAGACAAAAAAAAAAAAAAAAACAGGTTGCCATACTTCAGAGCTATCACTGGGTGAGCAGTGTTCTGTTATGCTTTGCGTGCATGGGATGAGGGAGTTGGAGTGTTGAGGTGCGTGCCGCATGCAGCTTTCACAAGTTCCAGTGCATGGGGGAGAGTGTTGCATGATGCTTAAAGACATAGAGTGGGGAGGAAGGAGGGGAGGAGGGGGGAAGAGTACCAGGGGGCAGCACAAAACGCTTTCCTCGCATCAAGGGATAAGGGAATGTTCAGGTGCATCACAAGATGCTCTCCACAAGTACGGCAAGTAGGGGAGGGAGGGGCAGCATATAGGGTCATTGCACAATGGTCTCCTCCCTTGGGGATTTAAATGGGGGAATTCGAAGAAATGGAGGGTCATGCGGAGGGAGTTCCAAGGGGTGCTGCATGATGCTACCATTGCATTGAGGGATGGAGGGAGGGAGATTGTTGAGGGGTTTCACACAGTGCTTTGCGCACATAGTAGACTGTAGAAGAAAGAGAGGGTCTAGGGGATTGCATGATGCTCTTATGCCTGTAGGAGCAAGGAGGATTATGCTGCACACGGGGCGCACGGGGCACACGGGGCACACGGGGAGATGCACCGCATCATGTTTGTGGCCACCTGTGTGTCATCCACCACATGAACTTTTGTGGCTCCTGATGGAAAATGCCGTTCAGAGGGGCATAACGTCTACGTCTAACAGCAATCAAGGGCGAGGGTACTAGGGGGGGATGCTCTTACCACCTGGCCTTGTGACCCAAGTGGTTTAAAAATAAAATTAGACTAATTAAATTTAAAAAAAAAAAAAAAAAGTCTACGTCTAACAAACATCAGGGTTGATTCATCACAGCCGTCCGTTCCTTAGCACAGTGCAACCACCGCGATCAGCAAGTTGTCTTACAGTGTTGTGATCAGGATGGGGTTGCAACCTTTACCCTGCAGAATAAAAGGTGGGTGTGAATGCAGCCCCATGATTCCCCAAGCTTATTTTTAATATATGTCTGCACATGTGCTGTCTGTCAGCCTCCATGAGAGTGGAAACACAACAGTGGTGGCTCTGGTGGGATTTAATTGAGGCAGGACCAAGCCAAGAGCATGCAGACCACATAGACTCTCTCTCTCTCTCTCTCTCTCTCTCTCTCTCTCTCTCTCTCTCTCTCTCTCTCTCTCTCTCTCTCTCTCTCTCTCTCTCTCTCTC